GGTGGGTGGTGAAGGACTGGGTTCAGTGGGACCTGGTTTAGCGATGTGTGCTGGGGGGCGCCCCGCCCGCCCCGTTCCACTAACCAGAACTGCCGTCTCACCCGAAAGAACACCAGCTGTGGCAGACCTGGTGAAGTGATTCTGGCCAAGTCAGAGGCTCCAGGGCCCTACTCCTAACACGGTCTCCTTATTTGGGGACCTGGCTATACCCGGCCTACAATCCGCCTCGAAAGCGAACGCAGGTTCTAAATGTGGATCGACGCGCGAAACGCGGCCCGCGGGGTCGGACGTTTGTCTTTACAGTCGCCAGTTCCGGCGCGAATATCGACAGCTTGGGGTCTTCGGGCGCCGCCACTTCGCGGGACAAACATGCGTTTGATTTCGAAGAATGGCCTGCGCCGGCGGACGGCGGATGGCGGCCGTGCAGCATCGTACAATCAACCCGTATAATAGATGATGCGCGATAAGGATGCAAGGGCCTTGGGAGGCCATGTCGACACTTTGCGAGCGGGGCGCGACCAGCGAAAGCGGTCAACGATGGACCGAGGAGGCAAGGATGCAAGGGTACCGTTGGGAAAATTGCCCGTCCCTAGCATGCGGGTCGACAGCAGAACTGCCCGCGTCTACCGCCCCAGAGTCGGATCCCAGAGGAGGAAAATCATGCACAGGCATGAACTTTTTGGAGCTCCAAGTGGATCTCTTGGATCTGCGCTGGACCCCCCTCTCCCTGGCAGGCGGACCGCGCCAGGGGCGGCGCCAGATGCGCCGCCGAGGAGGCCCAGGCGCCGACCCGAGAAATCCGCGCGCGCCTCCGAGCATCGATGTTAAGGCCACCTCTCTTCCACGAGTGACTGCCCGCCTCCGCCGTCCCAAAGTGGAGTCCCCAAGAGCAAACGAGAAAAGATGACACAAGATGTGGTCAACACTTCTTTTTTTTTTGAGGAGGAAGATTTTTTTTTGCCGCTGCGCTACTCTGCCGCGAGTCATCGCGGTCCTCCTGGCGGCCAGCCAGGCAGTCGACGAGCCCGACACTTGAGACGCTGCCAGCGCAGGATTGTTCCGTGCACGCTGGCCGACCCGCACAAGCAGGCCACGCGACAGAAAATTCAACAGGCGATTGGCAGTCGCCTGAGGGCGCAAAACGGCGCAGGCCGCGCCACGGTCGGGGCCATGCCCCCGTGGCGCGACCTAAGCGCGACCAGGGAGCGCAGGGAGACCGTGCACCGCGCTCCCTGGTCGGGGTAGGGGGCGCGAGCCGTGCTCAGCGCCAACCCTACCCACCACCCACTCCGTGGGTGGCCGCGTTTTACGGGCCCCGGGACCACGACACGACGCGACACGACAGGGGGACGAAACGAACGACGCGACACGAACGACACGAGAGGGACGAGCGACACGACAGAGACGAGCCGCCAGCCCCGCCCCAGGGCGGCGAGCGCTGGGGGGGACCCAGCACCGCCCTGGGGAAGCACACGGGGCCTGGCGACCCCCCCGGGGGAAGGAAACCGCGCTTTGGCGGCGTCCCCCGGGGAGCGGGGGATTTTCGCCCCTCGGGCCCGGCGCTCCCCGCCTGCGCCAGGAGGACCCTGGGGTCCCGACCCCTCCCCTACGGGAGGGGCCCCCTCGGGGCTTTTTGAGGAGGAAGAGGAGGAGGAGGAGGAGGAGGAGGAGGAGGAGGGAGGAGGAGGAGGAGGAGGAGGAGGAGGAGGAGGAGGAGGAGGAGGAGGAGGAGGAGGAGAGGAGGAGGAGGAGGAGGAGGAGGAGGAGGAGGAGGAGGAGGAGGAGGAGAGGAGGCGGAGGAGGAGGAGGAGGGGAGGAGGAGGAGGAGGAGGACCCCCCCCCCCCCCAAAAAAAAAGATGTGGTCAAACACTTTTGGCTCAGCGCACGCTGCGCGGGCTCCGGCCTGCCACGCTTCGGCGCGGCAGTCGATCCATGTCCCCAGCCCCAGGCGCCAGCGGCCCGAGCTGTTCCCGACCCCCTGTCCCGCGAAGCGGGGCGACACGCCATCCGCTCGCAGGGCACAGCGCGTCGCCAGAACCGCCGCCGCGACACGCTAGGCAAAAGTTCCCAACCGCAGCCCACCACGACGACGCCGACGACGACGACGCCGACGCCGACGCCGACGCCGACGACGATGTCGGCGACAACGGAGACGACGACGACGACGACGACAACGACGACGACGACGACGGAGGACGGAAGACGGAAGACGGAGGACGGACGATGACGTCGACGGATGACGGACGATGGACGACAACGACGGACGACGACGAAGACGACGACGACAACGACGACGACGACGACGACGACGACGGCGACGACCCTCGGGGAAAGGGCGCGCCGAAAGTTCAACCGCCGCGCTGGCCGCGCCGGCCCGTCGGACTGCCGAGATCGCATGGAGCCCCGACCTCCGGAGGCTCGAAAACGTCGAGCCTCGAGGCCTCGGGCCTCTTGGGGCGCAAGCCGACGTACGTCGCGAGGAGGAAAGATTGGAAGCGGGGGCGGGGCGCGAGGACTGTGCTGCTACGGTCGAGCTGTCTGGACCCGCGGGCTGTCACAGATTCCGAGGTGTCTTCTGGCGCCTGTGCGCTGCGGCGGACGGAGAGCTCTCTGTAGCTTCTGAAGGCTATCACAGATTCCTGTAGTGTCTGTGCGCTTCCTGCAGGCTATCACAGATTCTGATGTGTCTTTTGGGCACATGAACGCTGCGGCGGGCGGAAGGCGGATCCGTGGCCGTCTGGGCTCGAACGGAGCGTTCGTTACGCCTGGAAATGAAACAAAACGATCTCTTCGATGCTGGTACGAGTAGGGATTTCCCCCCTCCCCCCTGGACAAGACCGATTGGGAGGACCGAGGAGCCCTGCTGCAGGGGAAGGGCCCGCGCGGGAGAGGGCGGGCGAGCTCGGGCCGCGGGCCGAGGAGCATTTAGAGCATATGTGTGCCCCAGTTATGCATTCATACATCGTAAAAGAGAATGGGAGAGTGAGAGAGAGAGAGAGAGAGAGACAGAGACAGAGAGACAGAGAGAGAGAGAGAGAAGAAAGAGAGAGAGAGAGAGAGCGCGATGCACTTGAAACTTCTTGTCTTGCACTTGCAGAGGAGAACAAGTAGGCATAACTGTACACATATCTATACATATATCGGGATACATATATATATATATATACAGATTGACACCAACATAGCATATGTGTACAAGTGTGTGCTTGTATATATATATATATACACATAAACCACTAACACACGAAAAAGCGCTACAGCTTCCAATCCAAGGAATATTCGCAGGCCCCAGTTGCATCAACGACGCGCCCTCTCCTCCTTATCCTCCTCGTCACCCTTCTCCGCCTCCTCATCACCATCCTGCTCCTCCCTGTTCCTCGTCCTCCTGCTCCTGCTCATCCTCGATCTTCGCCCCATCCCAACCCTCCTCCGCTCCCCGCCGATCCCCCTCCTCAGCGTTCTGCTCCCCGTCCTGTGTCTTCTCTTCCTCCACCGCTTCGTCCTCCTCCTCCTCCTCCTCCTCCTCCTCCTCCTCCTCCTCCTCCTCCTCCTCCTCCCCCTCCTCCTCCCAGTCCCACTTCCCCCTTCCTCCTCCTCCTCCTCCTCCTCCTCCTCCTCCTCCTCCTCCTCCTCCTCCTCCTCCTCACTTCCCCCTCCCCTCCCCGCACCATCGTCGCCCTCCTCCTCGCCAGCGTCGCCGTGCTCCTCCCCAGGCACGGCGGCGCGCGAAGCAGGCGCGGAGAGCCCCGTGGCCGCCTTCGGGCCCTGGCGGGCTGCCGGCCCCGACGCCAGCGTCTCTGGGGGGCAGGGCTGCGGCGCGGCCCCGCTGTCGCGCCGCGGGGGCGGCACAAACATGCTGCGCTCCCTCTGGGCAAATGCTGCGACGAGGGGGCGGGGGGGGCGGGAGGGGGCGGCGCCGACGAGGAGCGAGAAAGGGGGGGGGGGGGGGGCGGCTCGAGGGGGGGGGGGCGGCGCGCCGAGTCGGAAGCGGCGATGCATCGCCGGTGGATCGGCAAGAGGCCCGCGGAAACGAAGCATCGCCTTCCCGGGCGGTGTCGGGCGCCGAGACCCCCCGATCGACGACGAATGGGCCGTTGGGGGTCGTTGTTCCCCCCGTGTGCCAATCCGCCGCTGCCGGTGTCCCCACCCGAAAGGAGGAGGAGGAGGAGGAGGAGGAGGAGGAGGAGGAGGAGGAGGAGGAGGAGGAATAGGAGGAGGGGGAGGAGGAGAAGGAGGAGAACGAGGAGAACGAGGAGGACGAGGAGGAGGAGGTGGAGAACAAGGAGGAGAACGAGGAGGAGGAGGAGGAGGAGGACGACGAGGACGACGAGGAGGCCGAGGAGGATCAGGAGGAGAAAAAAGAGGAGGAGAGAGCTTCTTCTTCTTCTTATTCTTCTTCGTCTTATCATTATTGTTATTCGTATTCCTCTTCTCCTTCTCCTCCCCATCCTCCTCCTCCTCCTCCTCCTCTTCATCTCCCGTCTTGGAGGTTTCGTGGCGTTTGCTGTGGCGTTTTCCGGTGGCCAGGAAGGCTTCCGAAAATCCCGGATGCTTTCGTGCTTGACTGGCATGGGGACTCGGGACGTACGCGGGCGCTTCGAAGTATGGACGATGGGCCAGGGGTATGGGGAGCGAGGGGGAGAAGGAGGGCAGAGGGGAGGATCATGGAACGGTGCGGGGCGGAAAAGGTCCCAGGATGCGAAAGCGAAGGGGAATATGGGCAGGAAGAGCAGTAGCAGAGCAAAACCAGCGCGCACCCTTGACGCTGGAATTCCCCCCCGCCCCACCCCGTTAATGGGGCCCCAGGACACAGAGATGAATAGACACAAATCTAAGGATTCCCCATCCTTTGACATATATTCTGGAGGTTCGTCTTCCCCTCCGCCTCTCATATTTCCCATGTTTTCCTCGGGATCAATGTTTAATTGTGTCTGTGTGGTTTCTTCTCTCTCCTGGACCACACCACACCTCCCACCCCACCCCGCCCCGCACGCACGTGCTTTGTTTTTGTTCGCGAAACCTGCCCACAAACTCGCAAAGGTGGCCCGAGTGGCCAGTCGAGACGACTCCCAGGCTGCACCACACCGCCTTTCCAGACCTCACAGGACGTTTGGAATGTATCTGCCCGTCGACATGTTGTGGCGGAGTATCTCGCGCCCGATAGTCCCTGTGGAGAACATGGTCCGCAACCTGTCCAGGCGCCGCGAGTCGAGCGTGACATCCACCGTGCGGGTCGGAGCCGCAACCTCGCCGTGGACGTCCACGTAAGGGTAATCCCAGAGCCCAACCATGGGCTTGGGGCCCGCGGCATCGGAGATCGCCACCACCTTGGAGGGGAAGAAACCAGGATGACCAAGACTGAACGCGGGAACGTCGTGCCGGTATTGGGCACCGTCAACCTGGGTCAGCGTCAAATCGTGAGCCATCCTCGCGAATCGGCGACGGCCACCATGGACCATCACAACGCCGGCATCGACAAAATTCCGCGACATCTTGGTTAACAGGTCCCCGTTGATGGGCCGTGTTTCCACCACCACTACCATAGGTAGGCTGGAGGAGAAGGGAGGACGGGGAGGTCCTCCTTTCCTTCCTCCTCCTCCTCTTCCTCCTCATCCTCCCTCTCCTACCTATGGTAGTAATGGTGGAAGATCGGCTCATCACCCGTGCTCATTCCCTCGACACCTTGCCCATCAAGGGTGCCAGCAGAAGTGCCTGGCCAGCCCCGCAGGCCTGCGCATGCTCGCTGCAGCTCCCCACTCCGGGCGACCCCGCGAGCGCGGGGCAGCCGCCCCTGCCCCGCGGCAGCCGCCGGCCTTCGGCATCTCGCTCGTTGCTCCCCTGACAGACCAGAGCGCCACACAGCAGGCAAATGCACGGCTCAGCCGGCACCGCGGCGCACCTCTCGCAGGGGCGCCTGCGCAGCTTCTTGATGAGATCCAGCATGTGGTGCGGCAGTGGCGTGAACGCCACGAGGCCCGACGGGCTCTCGGGGCTAGACGCCAGAGCGGGGGCCGGCTGAGGGCCCACGAGGTCCGCTGGCAGGCCCAGCAGCTGGAGGAGGGCGGTCGTTCGGGCGGCCGCGCCGTCCGGCAGGTGGGCCAGCACGTTGAGCGCCCGGCCCTCAAAGGTCCAGAGCCCCGCCGCGACCCAGGCGGCGAAGGTGAGCCAGGCGCTGACGGCCGGCAGCGCCTCCGCCTCCGCTGCCTGCGGCTGCCCTGCCCTGGCCTGCGTCAGCTTCGCGACGAGCGGCTGCGAGCAGGAGCGGCCCGAGGCAGGAGCGGCCCTCGGTGCGCGACGCTCGGGGCACGCGGGGTGGCCAGGCCCGAGCAGGGCCTCCGCTTGCAGCTCGCCCCGCTGGGGCAGCCGTCTGGCAAACCCCTGTGTGCCCCCTGACCTTCCAGGAGGGCTAAAAAATAGCACCCGACCTAAAAACCTATCCCAAAGCTATTATACGTCTTGGTTTTAGGCTGTTTCGCTAAGTGTTTTAGGTCTTTAGGTTTCCAGTGCTAAAAAATAACTCGCTGGAAGGTCAGGGCCCGCACCTAAAATCACTCCGGCAGAGACGCAGACCCCCGACGTCGTGATTCTTTCGCAACGTCGAGCCCCAGAAGCCTGGACCCTCTCCCTGGGACCGGCTTCTCATGCCCGAGCCGTGATTTGACGGCCCCGAGGCCCGGGAAGGGCCCATGTGTACTCTGGGTTTCTTACTTCGGGAGAGTACCCCCCGACGGGGGTCAACTTCGCCTCGTCGTCGCGCCGCGACGGGGGTCGGAGCGCCTTCGGCGCGCGGTGGCTGCCCGCGACGGGGGTCGATGTGGGGCTGTCGGCGGGGGTGACGCCCCCCTCCCCGACGCTTCTTAAGAAACTCGGAACAGCGAAACGCCTCCCGCCGTGATCCTGTCGCAACGCGAGGGGGGTCCGGGGAGCCACTTTGGATGCTCGTTCTGGGGACCTTCCTGGAGCCACTCGCTCCACTCGTGCGTCGAAGCTGCGTCGAACGTCAGTCGATTTGGGTCGACCCTGAGTCGAACCTGAGTCGAACCTGAGTCGAACTTGAGTCGAACTTGAGTCGAACTGGGGTCGAACAGATCCGTTAGGTGGGCTCCAGGAAGGTCCCCGAAACGAGCATCGAAGCCACTCTTGCGCGCAGCCGAGATGAGGGCGCGGAGCTCCTCCGGAGACCTGCACTCTCCGGCCGACTCCGCCAGGGCCCGGCGCGGGTCGCGCTCCTCGGCTTGGGTCGGGCACGTCCCCCTGCAGGCGGATGGTGGCCGACGGGGGGGGAAAAAGAAATCACCCAAATGCTCAAAACTGTTTTCAAACAATCAAACAAAAAGTCGTATCCGCACTATGTTGTGACGATTTGTGGGTTTTCTCCTGTAGACAGACACGCCCCGCTTAAGTTGTGGGTGCCACGACAATGGACACCCTAACAGTCCTACCATCGAAATTTAAAAACGTGTTCAAAATGTAAGGAAACATGTCCTGAAGAGGTTTTAAACATGTTTTTTTTGTTTGAAAGAAAAATAAAGCAGTGTTAACACATGTTCTAGACATCTGGAAATGATTTGGCAACACGCTTCCTCTCCATTAATCGACTTCCACAACACGTAGGATCCTCGGCGCCGCCGCAGCCGCCGCCGGGGGCCAGCGCCGCCCGCAGCCGCAGAAGCACGGCGTGGAGGGGCGGGCTGCCCCCCCCCTGGCCCTGCAGGACCTGCCAGCGAAGGCGCCCAGGGACACGCCAAGGAGCAGGCACGAGGCCCAGGATTCCCCCCTCTCTCCCCATGTGTTCTGGGTGTTCTGGGAGGCACAGAGACATACTAATACTATATGTCCTCCTCGGAGGCGCGCGTCCGACCCGAAGATATAGTACACCCATCTTGTAGTATATATCGTTTCCCGAGCGGTGTGGTCAGAAAGCGCCCGCCACGACGCATATACTATAAGATTTCTCGGTGCGCGCGTCGCCCCTGGGGGGGCGACGCATATATAGTATAAGTATGTTGGGGTGACGCCGATGTTCGTCTTCCCCCCCACACACTTCCCATACACGCAGAAAGCACCTTACACACCACCGCCGTGTCAAGCCAGGGCCATCCTGGCCCTGCAGGACCTGCCAAAGAGGCGCCCATCGACGGACCAAGAGACAGACACAGCGCCCATGATTCTCCAGCTTTCCCCATATGCTCAAGTCGGGCATGTCCCCCTACAGGCAGATTTTCGACGAAAAATTCAAAACATACCTCAAACAAATATCCGAAGACAGCCAAAAGCCAAAAGAAGTCAACGAAATCGTCCCCAGACTATTTTCTGAGTATGTTTAAAAGTTTCCCCTGTAGAGGGACAGGCCCGACTTGACCTTGTGTTCTGGGTGTCCGTCTTCCCCCATTTTCCATACACGCAGAAAGCACCTTACACACCACCATCGTGTCAAGGCAAGGCTCTTCTGGCCCTGGCCTGGTGTACACGCCCTCCTGGCCGAGGCCGGGAGGGTCTGTACACCATCCTATCGGCCCAGGATGGCCCTGGCCTGGCACGGCGGTGGTGCATAGATGCCTTCGTCGGACCATATTGGTTCCCTACTTTTCCCTGGGGGTCGAGGGCTCATTGTGTCTGCGTGCTCCCCAGACCCCCGACGTCGTGATTTTTTCACAACGTCGACCCTCAAAGGTCTGGACCCCATCAACGGGACCGGTTTCTCATCCTGGGTCATTTTGTTGACGGCCCCGAGGCCCGGGAAGGGCCTCCAGAGGCCAAATAGGGAAGCACTTCCCGTCGTGATTTTTTGCACAGCGCGAGGAGGAGGTCTGGGCCTTTCCTTCCGGGAACCTGCGTGGGCGACGCGGCAGAGGCCACCAGCACCTGCAGCACAGCGGCCTGCACCAGGGCCTCGCCGACGTCTGCGGGCAGCTCCCCGGCGGGGGCCCCCCGCGGCGCCGCGCGCCCCGGGACGAGCGCCGCGAGGGCGGCGGGGAGGCCAGCGGCCGCCGCGTCGGCGCACCAGGGAGGGTCGCTGGGCATGCTTGCCATGGGCCTGTTGTCCACCACCACCGCAAGTCGGAAGGGGGAAGGAGTTGGAGGATGAGGATGAGGATGAGGACGAGGATGAGGTGGAGGAGGAGGAGGAGGAGGAGGAGAAGGAGGAGGAGGAGGAGGAGGAGGAGGAGGAGGAGGAGGAGGAGGAGGAGGAGCATGAGGAGGAGGAGGAGGAGGAGGAGGAGGAGGAGGAGGAGGAGGAGGAGGACCCCCTCCTCCCCTCCTGCTGGTGGTGGTGGCGGTGGAAAACAAGCCCACCAATGCTGGCGGCCCCGCTTGGGCTGCTGCCCCCTGCGGGGGCGGTGCTGCCGAGGCCCGAGGGCTCCTGGGGGGCCTGGAACAGCGGCCTCGCGGGCAGCACCGGCAGCACACAGCTGGACAGGGTCCGGCACATCGGGCAGAGCACCGAGCCGGGGCCTGGCCGCGACAGGTGAAACAGGGACTCCTGGCTCCTCTCGGGGAGACGTAAGACTCGGGTGCGGGGCACTCGGGTTGGCCTGGCGGGGGCAATCGTAAACACGACGAGACCCCATCTGCAATTTGGCGCGGGCTCCCGCTGCAGACATCCCACGAGAACGGGACCCTCAAATCCTGGACGCGCTCGTCAAAGAGAAGTTGGCAAACCCGAGTTCGGGCGCACTCGAGTCTTACGTTTCCCCGATCCTCTGCGACTGGAAGTACTCCCGGTGCTTCCTGACGCAGCTCGCGTGGACCAAGTGCCCACACGTGCTCACGGCCAGCGAGGGGCCGGCGAAGTCGCGGTGCCTGGCCAAGCGCTCGAGGGCGGTGGTGCGGCAGGAGTGCGCCAGCAGGCAAATGGGATCATCTGGCCGCGAGGCTTCTCTGCACACATCGCAGTACAGAACAGACTCCCCGGGCTCCTCGTCGACGTCCATGTCGTCCTCGCCGCCCGCCATGGCGGCAAAGTGCTGCTGCCTGGCGGCCATGCTCTGCAGCACAGCCTTCTGGCGCGCCGCGAGGGTCTGGCGCTTGGCCGCCTTCTGGGCTTCCCGATCCTGAGCGACCGTGGTGGGCTCTGGCGCCTGGCTCCTGCGAGTCGAAGCCAGGGCGAGGACAAGACCGGGTGAAGACAAATCGAGAATCTCTGAGATACAGCGGCTCTGGAGGATGCCTCGGGCGCCGCGGGCTCTGGAACGCCCCTATCCTCGCCCTGGCCCCGTCCGATCCTGGCCAGCACCCTGGAGCAGACGTGCCCCACGGTGCCGGTCTCCTTCTCCTTGAGCCCCCGCAGGGCAGCCAGCGCCTCCTCGAAGGCCTCCTGCGGGGCCTCTCCGCCACCGGCCGCCGCCGCGCCCGGCGCGACCCCCGCCGCGCCCGGAGCGGGGGCCTCCCGCCGCGCCCTGCCGAGCGCCTGGAGCATGTCGAGCATCTTCAGCGCCCACAGCAGCGCCCCGGTGCCCGGCGGCGCCGCGCTCTCGGCGCGAGCGCTGCCCCTCCGACACACCAGCTCGGACAGCGCCGCCCGCAGGCAGGGCCGGTCCAGAGCAGCGAGGACGGCGTCTCGCCACACCTGGCAGGTGCCCCGCTCGCGCACGGGGCCGAGGAGGTCGCTCTTGTGCTTGGCCGCGTTCTCCTCGGCCTCGGGGGGCAGGCGCTGCCCGCGGACCATCAGCAGGCAGTCGAAGCCGCTCCAGCTGTCCTGCTTCAGCTCGAACTTGAGCGCGCCGTCCTCTCCGACCTTGCTCGTGGCCACCTCGCGCACGACCTCGTCCACGGCCGGGCAGTCCTGCCAGCCCCAGGGCAGCTGCTCCCGGAGCGCCGAGGCCGACAGGGCCCTGCTGGCGAGGGCGTGCAGTATCCACCGCCGCAGCGCCCGCCGCGCGGCCTCCCCGGCGTACTCCGGGGAGCCGCGGTGCGCGGCGCAGACGCCCAGCTGCCAGGCCTCGGCGGCGGCCCTCGAGGCGAGCTCCCAGAAGGCCTCGAGCGACGCCTCCCGGGCGCTCTCCTCCGGGTCCTCCCCGAGCCGCTCGCGCCCCAGGCCCTGCAGCAGCGCGGCGGGCTCGTGGCCGGGGGAGCCGTGCAGCCCGAGCAGGGCCGCGGCGAACTGCACCACGGCCAGGTCCTGGGACTGCCAGTTGCAGTCGCCGTAGAGCTCGGCCTGCGAGCGCAGGCCGCCCCCGTTGCGCACCCAGAGGCCGGCCCTCACCTGTAGAGAGAGAGGCCTCCCAGATGGGGCCGGGGACTCGCGCCGCATCGCAGAGACATCGGCGATGCACCGGCGATGCATCGTCGACGTCGGCGCCGCATCGGCGACGTCGACGAGAGGCACATCGGGCCCCACACACATCTCGCCGCATGGGCGATGCATCGGCGATGCGGCGCGGTCCTCCGACCCCAGCTGCTCCGACCCCATCTGGAAGGCCAGCCCTCGCCTCGCTGGAGAACAGGTAGGCGCCGGCCGCGTGCTGGAGCATCAGCGCCAGGTCGGCGGCCGGGAAGAGGGCCAGCCACGCGGCCAGCGGCGGCTGGCCCTGGGCCCCCGAGCCCTGGAGGGCCGCCGCCAGAGCCTCCAGGGGGAGGCTGAGCACCAGGTGCCGCAGCAGCCGCAGGTGGAACGAGCTGCCGCTGGCCGCGCCCGGCGCCCCCCGCACGCGGAGCTCGGCCAGCAGCTCGCCGTGCCAGGCCGAGGACTGCTCCCAGGGCGCCTGGCGCACCGTGAGCTCCAGCGTCTGCAGCGTCCGCTCGAGCCCCTGCTCCAGAAAGAACGCCGTCCGCCACGTCTCCGCCTCGAACAGGACGTGCTCCCGCAGCTCGCGCCGCTGCGGGTTGAGCCGCCACTGCGAGCTCAGCAGCTGCAGCAGCGCCCTGCGGGAGGGCTGGTGCTGCAGGACGAACTGGGCGGCGGCCCGGTGCTGCAGCACGAACTCGAGATCGTGGTAAACCATCGTGACCTGCTGGGTGAGATTCTGGATCCTCCTCTCCATGTCCCGGGTGCGCCGAAGAGAGGGGGGCCAGGAAGACAGCTGGTTCGCGCCTCATGGCCTGTGGCAAGGGCGCGGACGAGGGGGGGGTCAGGGAGCGCATGGAAAGAACAGGGGGGCAGGACATCTGGAAGAATTCGTGGCCCTGGGCATGACATCCACACACCCCAAGGCCCCACCCAGCTCTTGGACGCCCCCGAATGTCGCGGAGCTGCTGCTGTGTCTGCTGGGAGCGGCTGGGGTGGACGGCGAGCGTGGCCTCCTTCAGGGCGGCCAGAGTGGCCTCGTGCTCCTCGAGGCGCCGGACGCCGTCCGACGCGAGGCCGCAAAGCCGCGGGACGACGTCGTGGCCCTCGCAGAGGGCCAAGCCCACTTCCGGGATGCTGAAGAGCTGCACCGTCAGCGAGGCGAGGCTTGGCCTGCTCGGCTCGCGCCGGCGGTTCTCCAGGCCCGCCAGCAGGCGGTCGTAGGCCTCCAGGAAGGACACGGCGAGCGCGAGCTTCAGCTTGGGGCTCTGCTGCGTCACCGCGACGAAGAAGGTGTACAGGCTCTGCCGCAAGACGGGGCAGCACGCCGCGCCTTGGATTAGATTTGGCATGTCCTCTTACAGGCGGATCTTGGATGAGAAATCAAAAATATTCAAAGAAAAATTCACAAATAGTGAAAAAATAATCCAAAGATCATCCCCAGACCTATTTTCACTCTTCCTCCTGTGGAGAGACATGCCCGACTTGAGCCTTGGACCCAGGCCGTCAGCCGCGGCGTGAGGGCGGCCCGCAGGGCGTAGCGAAGACCGGGGGAAGCCTCACCCAGCGAGCGCAGCCACACGAGGCACTCCTCGAGCTGCGCTGCCTGCTGCACTGCTTCGGGCTCTGCTGGTGGCTGGTCGCCATCGCTCGTCGCGCCGCCGCCGGCCACGAGGCTCATCACTAGGCCGTCCGCGAACGCGACGGCCTCAGCGAGCACGGGGACGCACCTCTCCCGGACGCCCCGAGGGAGCGACAGCAACGCACGCTCGGAGTCCTCGTCCTCGCCGACCGCCCGGTGCCTGGAGCAGAACCCCTCCGGCTTCCAGCTCGAGGCGTCGCCGCAGTCGCAGCACCCGCTCGAGGTGCGAATGAGCTTCACGGCGTGTCCCGCGTGGTCCGCGTCGAAAAGGCACTCGGGGCACACGGCGCAGCTGGAGTCCGCCTGGCAGTCCTCGCAGCGGAATGCCAAGTCGTTCTCGCCCCACTGCACCGGGCAGCAAGCGGCCGCTGCCCCGTCAGGAACGGCCAGCCTCTGCCACTCCGCGGAGGCATCTTGTCCGAGCAGCCTGTGAAGCCAGACGCTCTTGTCAAACACCGTGCCTCGGGGGTCTTCTTCCACCTGTACGAAAAAAACCTCTTCTGAAGCAGGGACCTCGGCCATGGCCTAAGCACACACCCGCCCCTGGGTTCTTGAGCCAAGCGGTGACAGCACTGCAGCATGCGCAAACGCTTGGAGCAAATAATTGCCCTCCTTCCTTGCAACTAGCAGCAACAACGAATTGCCCTCCTAGTTTATAACATGGCCGAGGGGGCGGGGGGGGGGAGACATAACATAATGCCCCCACCCCCCGCCGTGTGGGTCCGGGACAGCAGTCTGTGGTGTCGGAAGCACCGCGGCAGTGCGGCAGTGCCTGAGACGCATATGGGGGGGGGGGGGAAGCGTGACGTTCTGGGGGGGAGGGGGGTGGGAGACGGATCCTGGGGCGGGTCGCGGGTGGGGTTGTGATTAGGTCCGCGGGGCGGGACTCGGGTGCGTCGCGGACTCCCGCACGGTGCCCGTTGCACCATTTCCAGACCGACCCCCCGTCACCAACCGCACTCTGAACACTACGCGCTTTCAACTGACAGTTGCCAACCAAGGCCAACTGCCCACTGGAGCCCAGCTGAGGCGCAGATTGAGAGGGCTGCGGAGCAGCGCAGCGATGCGGACAGGAATCCGCGCCCACAGCGGGCGTCAACCTCGAATGCGATTGCTTCTTGGAAAGATGCCAGATACCCAGCCCCCCAAGTTGCGGATCAGAGTGAGGGGGTGCGTGGGGCTCCCTGCGGAGGCTTCGTGGCCCGAGTGCCAGTGCAGAGAAGCCAGCCGCAGGCGCCCGATGCTGCTCGGAAGCAGTCTCCCCGCCGCCGGCGCCGACTCTGCCGAGAGGCGCGAGCTGGCCGCGGAGCACGACGTCGGCGAGTGTCGCGGCGAGGCTCGAAGGCCAGCGTGCAGACGCCCGCGGCAGGCGCCGGCTGCTTCTCTTCGGCAGAACCAGCCCGCCGCAGGCAGCGATGCTTGTTGATTCAGTGCGGCCGGGTCGCGAGCGCGGGTCGCGAGCGCGGGCGGGGGTCGAGGGTGCGGGCCGCGGGCGGAGCGCGGGTGGGTCGAAGCACGGTCGCGGGAGGGTCGCGGGTAGATCGCGGGTGGCTCGCGAGCCGGTCGCGGGTGGATCGCGGGTGGGCGGGGTGGGTCGCGGGGTGGGTCGCGGGGCGGGTCGCGGGGGCGACGACGACGACGACGACGACGACGACAAATACACCCTGGGGCTGCGATGCCATGCGCCCTGGTTCCTCTCTCAGTGGCCTCCCTTTCGCGCACCCCGCACCTGCCCCCCATGCGGACCCCCCCAACAACTACCAACCAACAAACCAACCAACCCACAACCCCACGAACCAACCAACCAACCAACCAACCAACCAACCAACCAACCAACCAACCAACCAACCAACCAACCAACCAACCAACCAACCAACTAGGAATCCCTAAGGACCCTGCGAAGTCCTGGGGAGTCCAGATGAATTCTCAGGAGTCCTGAGGAAACCTGAAGATTCTGAGAGAGACGCTGAAGCATCCCCGGAAATCGGGAATAACCCAAAGGAAGTATGAGAAATCAGGAGTAAGCCGGAGGAATCCTTCGGAATTCTAGAGAATCCGTTTTGACATGCTGAGGGTGCACAGGAATCCGGAGGAGTTCTGAGGAATCTTGCGGGATCCACAGGGCGTATGTATCCCTGGGTGTATGAATACATGGGTGCCTGTCTCTGGATGTTTGAATTACGAGTCTCTGGATATTTGGACCTCTGGATGTCTTGTTGCACGCATCTATGCTGTATGGGTGTGTGGATGCATGGATGCATAGATCTCTGGTTGTGTGGACTTCTTGACATTGGGATGACTGGATGCTCCTCATCCTTCCCTTCCTCCTCCTGATCCACCTCCCCCTCCTCCTCCTGCTCCTCCACATGCTGCAGCTGCTCCTCGTCACCGTCCTCCACCGCCTCCTCCTCCTCCTCCTCCTCCTCCTCCTCCTCCTCCTCCTCCTCCCCTTCCTCAACCTCCACCTCCTCCTGGGATGTAGTCAGAGCTCCAGGACAATCCTATTCCTCCCCATCACCCTCACTCTCACCTTCAGCAGCATCACCATCCTGTCCCTCCTCCTCCTCTTCACGCAAGAGCTTCGACCCTTGGATTATTACCATGTGTTCGAACACACCCTGCAAACTCCACGACTTCATTCGAAACCCTCACGTCACATTTACCAAAATCCGAGCGGTCAAAAAAGCAATGACCACACCGCTAGACATCACGACGGCCAAATGATATTGGTGGAAGACATGTTGGTCCAGATCAAGGTTTACGCAAGCTCGGGTCATGCAAGTATTACATCGTATCCATTGTCGAGCTTTTAATATCAAACTAGAGCGTCTCACCGTCGCCTCAGCCCTCAATGTTTCTGTGCGAAGTTCTCCCAGGACGGCAAAGGGTTGCGAGGCTTTTCGATGATTTGCAACGGCTTCCCGATGATTGTTCTCAGATGTTGGCTGTGAAGGATCGGTGCGTTTCGTGGCCTTGGGAACTCCTGGTTGTCTTGATCCGCTTGGTTCCCATGTCCGCCGAAGATGACAGCGCTATCGGTGCCGCCTCCCTGATAATGCGGATTTGGGTAGGGGGCTTGCGCAGTCCTCTGGATCGTGAGTTGTGCACCAAAACTGCTGGACTTTGGGATCAGATAACAATGTTGCTGGCTCTTCTTCCCTGCCAGCCGTCTTGGTCCGCAACGGTGGGGACGAGGCAGCGCTAGCATTCCCGATGGAAGACCTTTTGCACATCGATGTTCTCTAAAATCTGAAGGGTTTCTACTGTTCCTTGCAGCGTGTGGTCACCATGACGACCGCAGAGGACAGGGATTCCCCCCGCACGCATTGGCGCTTACCATGCGCCAATGTTTCGCTCAACGCATCGGGAAGAAGTCTGGTATTTCTCTTACCCTATCCATCCTGAACGGGCCATGATTCCTGGCATTCGCTCTGCCGTGGACTTCGCTAGGTGCATTGTCTAGCGAACCTTGGAACGTATGTACAATCCCCACACATCGGTTTCAATCTAGTATTGGGTGGATGGTATCACCACGCGAATTGGTGGGTCCTCTCATGTTTGCCGTCAAACAGATAGAGGGTGCAACCAATACTGCCTGTGAGATCAGTGAGGCTCCGGACCTGACCATCTCTCGAAACTTCAACGTCGGGCCATCCAGCGCTCGGGTCGGGCAGTTGATTGAGTAAAACCTGACAGCGCGTGGCATGATGGTGCATTATCAGTTATCAGGAGCAGGTGGTGGACCAGGGTTGTCACTGTGGACGTAGACGTGAGAGGCAGGGCAACACACAAAAACACATGTGAAAGGCTCTGCTCAATTTCACCACTACCGAGCACGTCGCGAAAACTTCGCTCACTCACCGTCGTATCTCCGCCTGGCCACTACTGCTGCATTGCCGTGTGTCTCGTACGCTGGGAGAGATTCTGGCGCACCTCCTTCGGTCCTTCTGCGGTTGCGGAGAAGAGCGCTGGGCGACATAATTAGAGAGGGTATACTACTCGCAGGTCCCTCAGCACCCAGCTTCATTTGGACATGGGTCCATCCGAACCCATGGTTAGCACAGTCATGGACGTCACCAACTCTTGGGCTCTTGTCCTGGCCACGTCGGGCGTCGCAAAGGAGCTCGTCGAGAGGACGTGGCGCAGGATCGTCACCAATCTCTAGGTCAAGACGCCCTCGACGAGGGCTGCACGTCAGGGGCATCTGCTCCGCCATCCTCTGTCTTCGTCTGTGCTACTCCTTGGGGCCCTGGCGATGGGCAAGTCCTGGCGGCATTGGGCTTTTCCCCAAAGCGTTCCGCTCGAGGGCTGCAATCATGGAAGAGTCCCATAGGAGCGACGTGGAGCTAGAGACCGCCCGGCCCTGCAGCCGTTTCGCTCGAGACTGGTTCACGATTTCGTCAGAAATCGTGCTCTCGCCTCAGTTGAATGCGCCCAAGGGCAAACAAACAAATATACGCAAATCCTCGAATTCACAGAATTTCTCCACATGTTCTGGATGTTCGTCGTCCCCCTCCCCACTTCCCACATTTTCCCGAAAAGGGCTCCGCCACAGGGTTTTCTTTTGGTTGGTTTACCCCCGGTTTTGACTTAAAGGAGGCCGGCGGATGTCCGCTCGATAAAAAACAAGGTAAAGTCAAATTCGGCGTGAAAAAAAACGTTTCACGCGTGCCCGCTCGAGGAAAAGTAGACCCCCCAACTCGGATCTTCGATAACTGACGGGGTCCGCGGACCCCCGTTTTCCTCAATAAGAACGAAATGAAATCGAAGTCAGCGCGGAAAGTGCGTTTCGTGCGTGCCCGCTCCAGAAAAGTCGCCCCCCCATCTCGGATCCTTGAAAAATAACGGGGCCCGCGGACCCCCGTTTTCATTTATAAAAAACTATGTAGAGTCCAACGCTGCGCGGAAAGCGTGAAAATGTTGAGATGATGCGTGCCCGCTCGAGGATGGTGCGCCCCCCGCGCCAAAACATCGAGGATGTCTCGAGCGAAACGCTTGTTTTGCAAAACTTGAGGGACCTTGGCGCTCCAGCATGCCCCTGGAAGCCCTGGGAGCGCGGACGCGGCGTAATCTACGAGGGATCGTGGCGTTTGGAGCGCGGACCACGCGTAATTTGCGAGGGATCGTGGCCCTCGGAGCGCGGGCGCAGCGTAAAATACGAGGGATCGGAGCCCTGGGCCGCGGTGCGTCCCCGTGGCACGTCCCCTGGCACGTCGCCTGGCGCGTCCCTTGGGACGTTCCGCGGCGCGTCCTCCTGGCATGTTCCCCTTTCAATTAGCTCTGGGGCAGCTATTATGTACTGAGGCAGCTCGAGCTTAAGATCCAGATCAGTTCGGTCAGGACTCGGATGAAAAGGAGGGCTCGATCCACAACGCTATAGAGCTCAATCGCGGCATGGCACATCGCAATTCAGCATGGCGCTGCACAGCACAGCCCTCGGCACGGTACATCAAGATCGATACACTCAGCGTTGCTTTTGCCCGTCGCCCAATCAAATGTCTTTGAAACGTTGCCATGCCTTACATGTCTATATTCCTTTCCGGGTTCGTGGGTC